AACGCTCCCGCATGGCTGTGCTTTCCCTGCTCACTGCTGAGGCGCCTGCACCCCCTAGACGCCTGTCCTGCCCAGCCGGGCCGTGCGGTCATGTTGCTGAGCCGTTCTGTGCCCTCCTGTGCTGGTCCCGCTGGGCTGGGGCCGCGGTTGGTGAGAGCAGAGCTGCAGCAGCCGGTGCTGGGCGGTGTGTGGTTGGAAGGGGCCGAGCAGTGTGACTGTGTCCCCTGCCATGTTTGGGGGACCTGCCCCACTAGGGGCCTGCACATGGACGGGATACCTGTCCCTGCTGGGGCTTTTGGCAAGGGTGCCCCTGGCCTGGTTGCGCTGGGCACTGTGACCACCCCTCAGTGGGGTGGGTGCCGTTATCTCCCCTTCACGTGCCTCCAAAGTGGGGTGCCGCCTGGGGTGCAGGGTTTGAAGTTGGAAGTTCTGAGGCCAGAACTTGCTCTTCTTGGCAAAAGCCTCGAGGCGCTGTCTTAGCAGAGTCGGCCTCCAGCCAGACAGTGATCGCAAAGACCTGCAGGTTTGGCCACTGAGGGCAGCCAGGCGCAGTGGATCCCTTTTGATTTTTTGTTTTTTTTAAAGGTTTGCAGGAAAGTCCAGGAGGCCCTGGCGCTGGCACGACCATGCCGTGACCACATCTGGGCCCAGGTCGCCCGTCCCGTGAAACGTCTTTCCAGCTCTCCATGTCCTCGTCCCCTCCAGAGGCTCTGATTCCCAAGGACACGTGGCCTGCTGCGCTCACAGGGCTTGGCGGCCGTGCATGGCCTGTGTCTGCAGGGCTGGGCTGGCAGAGGAGGCAGGGCCCGAGTGAGGGCTGCTCGCTGCGGGCAGGGCGTGGCGGCCTGGCTTCCCGAGAGCCGCAGGCCCGTTGGCTTCAGGGGGGGCTTTGAAGCTAATTTCTTGTGCCCGAGTAAGGAATGAAGACGCTGTCCTCGAGTTTTGAGGTGTCTGGCGGCAGGTCCGGTCTTAGGTGAGGGTTGGTGCTGGGGAATCGGCGTCTGTAGTGGCAGGGAGGGCCGGAGCAGGATCTCTATGACCCAAGCAGAAGGGTAAAGGAGTCCTGGAGCCCTCGGTGGCTTTTGCAGGGTTTTATTGGGATTTACCAGGTACACGGCAGGTAGGGAGAGGTAGGGAGGGGTACGGGGGGCCGGCAGGCCTCCCAGTCCCCGGCGAGTCTTTGCTCTTCTGGGCTCTCCGGCGTTTCTCGTGGCCTCTGCTTCTCTGTTCCACTCTTTCTGGTTTCTGCTCTGCTGGTGTCCCCGTGACGCCGCCCTTATAGGCCCAGCCTCAGCCCAGGTGTACCCACTTACACATGCCCACACCCTAAAACAGGTGCCCGCCATCAGGCGTGCATTCAGGCCCTCAGGGGTCCATCATCCATCCTGATGGCCGAGGGCAGAAAAGCCTGATACTTTACTTACCCTCCAGTCTACCCTCTCAGGGTTTTCTGCTACAGTCTATATACAAGTTACATACAATTTTATATACGTGTTTCTCTCAGGATATGAATTCTGCAGCCGCCGCCCACAAAAGTAAATGAACTACAACTGAATGTAACAAAATACAACAGAACACAAATAAGTCCAAGGCAGGGCACCAACCTAGTGGCAAAAGACGACGATTGGCACCAGCAGATGAGCCACCACTTCTGCTGCCGACGGCGCTGCTCATGCGAGGGGGGAACCACTCAGGCACCTGCCATCACACGCCAGGAGCCGTCAGGCTTCCCGGCCTTCTCTGGCTGTGGTCTTGGCCACAAGCCACACACCGCATCCACCCCCAGGACGCACTCACTCTTGGACTGGTGTATCTTCGCTTTTCCTGGGCTCTCCGGCGTTCTCGTGGCCTCCGTTTCTCTGCTCCTTTTGCTCTGCTGGCGTCCCTGTGACGCCGCCCTTATAAGCCCGGTCTTAGCCCAGGTGCGCCCACCTACGTCCGCCACACCCCGCTCCAGGTGCCGCCATCAGGCGTGCGTGCAGGACCGCAGGGATCCATCCTCAGTCCTAATGGAGGGAGGGCAGAAAAGCCTGACACTTTACTTACCCTCCAGCATCTCTAAGCGTCCATCTAAGCATCCACGCTGCCACTAGACGGCGGGACATTCCCAGGCTCCCCAGTGAGAAGGGGGTGTCCGTGCAGCAGGCCTGGCGCTGGGCTGTGGGTGGGGCTGCGCTCACGCACCGGCCTGCACCTGGCCTGGCCCCGGCCTGCAGGGAAGACGCCGCCCAGGCTGGAAGCGGCCCCCGAGGCCCGTGCTCTAAGGCCCCCAACCGGCTGGGCCCGGAGGGCTGTGGTGGCAGCTGGAGTCTGCGAATGTCCTCGGAGCCACCAATTTCCAGTGTTTCTGTGTTTTTTCCTATAAACTTACTTCTGGATGATTCTTTGGGCCAGTTAGATTTCTGGACCCAGATTAGGCCACTAACTTTAGTATCAGTGTAAGTGTCACACTTTTTTCGATCAAATGTAACATTTTTGGGGGGATGGACGAAGCCCTGGCATGGAGGGTGATCGCCATGTGCTGACCTCGTAAAACCACCGTGACAACATCCAGGAATCCAGACGGTGCCGAGACCGAGGCAGCGGGGCGGAGCCCCCGCGCGCGGCCAGGGCCAGGCCTCAGAGAGGCCGCCGGGTTTGCACACTGACTTGGGGGTCCCTCTTCGGGCGCCCCCTCGCCTCACCACCATGCCCTGCGGGGGCAGGTGTGTTGCACCTGGAGCGGGAACACTCCCGGGCAGCTGTGCAGGCCACTCCCGCCTCTTCGCAGAAGCTGCTTCTCCGACTGGGGACGCTCGCAGCACGGGCTTCCTCAGCAGAAGGCGTGAACATACAGCTGGGCTGTGACGGTGTGGGGAGGGCCACCCCCATGTAGTCGGACGCGTGCGTGTGACTCCTGAGTCCCCTCTGGCGAGGCTCGGGGCAGCCTGCCGCCGACTCTGCCGTAACCGGCCGCCGGTGGGCACGGTCTGGTGTTCCGTTCCTGACGCGCTGGGTTCCGGCGGCAGCGAGCCCGGGAAAAGGAAACGTGGAGCCACCCACGAGGGGGAGAACGTGCACTGACCTGATGCACGCTTACTTACTGACAGATAAATCCATTGAAGAAAACGTGCGTAGACGTGTCCCTGCAGGTCAGAGCAGGTTGTTCAGGGCCAGCCGAATTCTGGGTCACCCCCCTTGGCGGGGTCCCTGGGGGAGGGGCCATGCCGCCTTCCCAGAGGCTGTGTGGCTGGCGTCTGCGCCCTCTGTCAAGCGGGGCAGGAAGTGGCTGGCTCAGCCTCCTGACCCCCGGGGGCACCTTCCACCTGCTCTGTTGTCAAGTGCTTGTCTGGCTGCCTGTGAGGACACAGCGGCCGGGTGGACAGCACCCAGCAGGCGGGCCGGCCACTGGCATTGCTGCTTCAAGGCCAGACGCGCCAGCTGCCGCTGGTGTGAGGGTGCGAGCCTGTGTTGCTGGTGTGTTGCGCGCGCGAGCGTGCATGGCTGGTGCCGAGGCTGTCGGCTGGTGCCAGAAGAGCCGCCCGAGGAGGCAGGAGCCTCCCCCGCAGGAGACCTGGGCCTCAGAAGCTTTAGCGCTGTTAGTTCTGTTTCGGGCTGAGAAGGATCATTAGACCCGTCCCAGGGGTCCCCGGGGAGCCGACATCGGAAGCCGACGTGGGCTCCCCACCCTTTCAGCCCTCACAGCCCTGCCCTGAAGACGGGCTCTCATGCCCTTTCAGGTTGGCTCTGGGGCTGTGTCTTACGCCTGCCGCAGTCGGGAGGGAATCCCCGTGTGCTGCACCTGCTGCTCTTGGTGCCCTGCCTGGGGCCGCCTGGTGGGCTGGGTCAGGTGGGCTTTGGTGCCAACGTGGATGGCTCGCGGTGCTGCACCCGCTGCGCCTTGCAGGGTGTGAACTGCCCTGGGCTGGAGGAGCACTGGGTGGTGGCCTGTCAGCGAGTGAGGACACAGTGTCCCTGCTGTCCCCCGGGGAGGCCCTGTGGGAAGCTGGCCTTCCAGGCCAGGGTGGGGGCCTCAGCCGTGCAGCGGAGTTTAGGGTGCCGAGACTCAGGGCCAGGTCGGGATGGGCATCCTAAGGCTGCAGTTTAAAGTTTACATAAGAGGTGGCCGGCAGAGCCAGCCCGGCCTTGCTCTTGAAGTGGTCTAGAAGTGCCCAGTGGCACAGCGCCGCCCAGTCCTGCAGTGGCCAGCTCACGGCAGAGCCACCGGGGCGCTGCGTCCTGCTTCTGTGTGCCGTGGCTTCCCTTGGGCTGGATCGTCTGCCTGCTGCAGTGACAGCGCTGCCTCAACACGCACGACAGCGCACCCTCATCCCTGCCATGCGCCGGTGCCTGCCTTCCTGGTCTCCCCCGCCCTGTCTGGTCTCAGTTTCTGGTGCCACCTTGTCCTGGAATCCAGGTCTCACACTGTTTTCAACTCTCTCTTCATCATTGTTCCTTAAAGATTTGGTATCTGGGGCCTGCCCGGTGGCGCGGCGGGTTGAGCACAGCGCTGTGAAGCTGTCCGCAGCCTCTGCAGTGCGGGTTTGATTCCCAGCCGGCCGGCGAGATACCCACATCGTGTGGCAGACCTCCCCTGTCTCCCCGCTGCTCCCTTCAGCGGTGTGTTTCGTCAGTCTGCCTGTTCTGTCCCCTGCTCTGTCTCTGGTGAATCCTCTCACCCTCCCGCACCTCTGTCCTGTACCCCAGTTCTTGTATAAATAGATAAATCTTAAAAAAAAAAAAGATTTGGTATCTGTTTGATGAAAAATTATTTTGGTGCACACTCACTTACTGTGATTTATTTTAATGATTCAGCACACGACGATGGTAATAATTGTTTAAGTGTTGGCTTCTTAAAGGAAAGCAGCTGTTGGCACATCTGCTTGGATTTGGGCGGGAGCCTGTTCTGTAAATTGGACTGGATTGATGAGTTTTGGGGAGGCGCGCCGTCTCGGTCTGCGGACACGGGGGCCTGGGGTGCGGCTGCTGCCTTCCTAAGCTTGCTGTCTTCTCCGTTTCAGGTGCTCACCGCCGGAAGCCATGCTCTCCAGGTAGGAGCCACGCGGCCCCGCCCCAGGCCTCTGCCGCCGAAGCCAACGGCTCCTCTGAAAATGGAGAGATAAGACGCGGCCCCGGCCGGCCTGTGTGACCGAGAGCCGCGCCCGCCCTCGCCGGGCGAGCCTGCGTCCTGGACATGGACCGCCACCGGGAGGCAGAGGTGGAGCTGCGGAGGGGTCCCAGCCCCCCCCGGGCCGGCCGGAGCCCCGACATGGACGGGGACAGGGCCCTGAGCCACAGCTGCTGCATCTGTGGGAAAAGCTTCCCCTTCCAGAGCTCGCTGTCCCAGCACATGCGCAAGCACACGGGGGAGAAGCCCTACAAGTGCCCCTACTGCGACCACCGGGCTTCCCAGAAGGGCAACCTGAAGATCCACATCCGCAGCCACCGCACGGGGACGCTGACCCAGGGCCACGAGCCGGAGGCGGGGGAGACGCGTGCGGCCGAGGGCCTGGATGGCTGCGCCAGCCCCACCAAGAGCACGTCTGCCTGCAACCAGATCCTGAACGGGGCCGCGCCGCTGGACGGCAGCAAGATCCTGCTGAGGAGCAGCAAGAAGGAGGCCGAGGGCGCCCCGGAGGAGGGCAAGGCGGCGCTGGCCCCCTGCTCCTTCTGCAAGAGCAAGTTCCCGCGCAAGCAGGAGCTGGAGCGGCACGTGCAGCAGGCGCACAAGCCCTTCGCCTGCCGGCTGTGCAGCTACGTGACGCTCAGGGAGGAGTCGCTGCTGAGCCACATCGAGAAGGACCACATCACGGCGCAGGGCCCCCCCGGCGCCGAGCCGGGCGTGGAGAACGGCAAGCCCGAGCTGCCGCCCGGCGAGTTCCCGTGTGAGGTGTGCGGCCAGGCCTTCAGCCAGACCTGGTTCCTCAAGGCCCACATGAAGAAGCACCGCGGCTCCTTCGACCACGGCTGCCACATCTGCGGCCGCAGGTTCAAGGAGCCCTGGTTCCTGAAGAACCACATGAAGGCGCACGGCCCGCGGCTGGGCAGCAAGAACAAGCCGCGGAGCGAGCTGGACCCCATCGCCACCATCAACAACGTGGTGCAGGAGGAGACCATCGTGGCCGGCCTGTCGCTCTACGAAGTCTGCACCAAGTGCGGGAACCTGTTTACAAACCTGGACAGCTTGAACGCCCACAACGCCATCCACCGCCGCGTGGAGGCCAGCCGGACGCGGGCGCCGGGCGCGGGGGGCACGCGGAGCGCCGAGGGTGGTGCCCCCGACTCGCAGCAGCTCTTCCTCCAGTGCCTGAACCTGCGGCCGGCGGGGGCGGTGCCTGCCCACAGTCAGGCCGGCCTGCGGGTGGCCGAGCTGGACCCGGTCAGCAGCTACCAGGCCTGGCAGCTGGCCACGCGGGGCAAGGTGGCCGAGCCGGCCGAGTACCTCAAGTACGGCGCCTGGGACGAGGCGCTGGCCGGGGACGTGGCCTTTGACAAGGAGCGGCGCGAGTACATACTGGTGACCCAGGAGAAGCGCAAGCGTGAGCCGGAGCCGGGCACACCGGGGCCCCCGCGCAAGAGGGCGGGCGCCCCCGGGGACCTGGCGCCCGGGCCGCTGGAGCCCCGGCCGTCGGCGCGCCCCAGCCGCCGTGCCACCGCGCCCGCCGGCCACGGCAAGTCGTCCGAGTGCTTCGAGTGCGGCAAGATCTTCCGCACCTACCATCAGATGGTGCTGCACTCGCGTGTGCACCGCCGCGCACGCCGCGACCTGGAGCGCCACAGCCCCGGGGACCGCGCCGCCCGCGCACGGGGCGGCTCCCTCAGCGAGGGCGACTCGGCCTCGCAGCCCAGCAGCCCGGGCTCGGCCTGTGCGGCCGCCGACTCCCCAGGCTCTGGCCTGGCCGATGAGGCCGCGGAGGAGAGCGGAGAGGAGGGCGTGGCCGACCCTGCACCAGGTGAGCACTGGCGCCCGGCGGGGCTCAGGTGGCCCCGTGCCCGGTACTCCGGGTGTTCTTGAGCCGGGGTGGCCCAGGCCCAGTACCCCTGAAGCTGAAGCTGGGTGGCTCAGGCCCTCCAGGGAGCCCTGCACCCAGGAAACCTTGTGCTGGGGTAGCTCTCGTCCAGGTACCCCATGCCCAGGTAGTTAAAGGCTCAGGCCCTGCCCGGGTGGCCTTGTGCCCAGGCAGCCCAGCCCCATGCAGTCAGGGCTCCGGGAGCACCAGAGCCAGTAGGTTGGCACCCAGGTAATCCATGGGCGTGGGGCCCTGGCCCAGTAGCCCTGCGGCCAGGTAGCTCAGACCCAGGTAGCTCTACGGCTGATAACCCTGCGCCTACATAGCTTGTGCTCGGGCGCCCTAGGCTGGGTAGCTCAGGCCTAGTCACCTCCACGTGGTGTGTCATCCTCAGGCCAGGGTTTCCCAAGGTAGTCCCACCCCAGGAAGTTGGGGCTCACCCAGGCGGCCCCAGGCGGCCCTGTGGAGTTGTGCACCCCTTGTGTACGTGCATGTCAGCTGTGGCACACACACGTGCTGTTGGCGCCTCTTCTGCTCCTGGTGGCCACAGGCCCGGGGCGTTTCGTAAACAGACACCTGTGGTTTCTCGAGTTGCTGGTCCCAGCATGAGCCCACGACGGACCTCTGTGAGGTCGGCCCCTCCGGTCACGTGCCATGTGGACTGGTTCTCATCATCCTGCACGCACAGGCATGCACACACAGACATGGGTGCACACACAGGAGAACACAACAAACCCCACCCCACATATGCGCCGCTCGCCTGCGCGCGCGCACACACGAGAGGAGATTGGCGGCATGCACGCTCCCTTCTGCTCCCTCCTGTGCCAGCGAGCCGAGGAGAGACGCTTGGGCTTGGTGTGCGGTTATAATTAATCTCCTTGGATCCAGCCGCCCTGGGGGTTTCGACGCGGCTAATTGGAACAGATTGCTTTCCAAATCGCAGCTATGTAAATATTTAAAGGTGCTTGGCCAACTTTGTTTTCATCCTTTTTCTACTTTTTATACATTTGAGACATTTTGATATTTTCTCCGTCATTTTTGGTTTGGGGTAATTTTTCGAGGAGAAGGTGCTGTTGCAGTGGCACAACGTGCGCCTTTATCAGCGTCCGTTTCCCTCTCCGTGGAAACTGGCTCGTGGGTGTTGCTCTCACCTGGAAGAGGGAGAATGACGGAGCCCAGTGCTCCTCCGGGCTGCTTCCCTTCTGCGGCGAGAACCCCCCGTGCAGTTCTTCAGAACAAACACGAATCTGTCCTTTCTTCCTCATTAGAGATTTCGCCGAGGCTGCGGAGCGGAGCTGAGTTATTAAAGGCTGACGCCGTGTCTGATGTGCGCGTCTGTCTGTTCCGCTCAAGTGTGTGTTGAGTCAATAAAAAATGTAGAGAACGGTTGTCCCCTGACCCCACGGACGGACGGCCACCCGCACGCGCGGCCGCGGCCGGAAGTGGGTGACCGCCGGGGGGCCGCCCCCGAGCCCGGGCTGGGCCCCGCGCCGAGGGGGGGCAGGAGAGCAGACAGTCGGCGCGCACGGTCGAGGTGCGTCCCGGTGCCGTGGACAGTCTGCTGTGGCAAGTCCGGTGCATTCGAGTGTGGCCCCCGGGCAGTGCTTCTGAAAATGATTCTTGCTTTTTCTTTTTTTAAAAAGCCACAGCTGTAGCTTTGCTGCCCCACGCCAGCGCCACAGCTGCCTTTCACGTGGGAGGCAGAACACTAGCTCAGCCCCGGGTCTGTTTTTCCTTTGAAGATAAATCTTCCGTGTTTGAAAGCGCTCAGGGCCTTGCCTCACCTTGGCGGTGGCGTGCGGAGGACTCAGAGCTCAAGATGCCGGAACCGCGCGTGGGTCTCGCTGTAAACGAGGGCGCGGTTTCCCTCCCCCAGCTTCACCGGCAGCACCTGTGCTTGCGAGGGACACAGGCTTCCTCTGCGTGGTCACGTCTCCCTGAGAGATTTGCCGCTTCAGATGATTTTATCACGAGATCGTCTGGCACGGTTGAGTCCAACGCGCTGACCACAGAATGACCAGAGTCTCGAAGCCGTCGGGAGCCCAGAGAAGCGGAGCCCACAGGGCGGCACAGAGCGCAGCTCCCACTTGCCCCGCACTCGGGGCTGCCCCAGGGCGGCTCCCTCCTCAGCCCGGCCTGCAGGGCACGGAGCAGGGGGTTGTTTCCCCAGTTTCCTGGGGAGAGACCAGGCTGGGGCGTCTGTCCACACCCCAGGCTCCTCTGCAGACCCAGCGACGGCATCCAGGCCGCCGTCTGGAGAAGCGCACGCTGTTCTGAGTTCTCTGTTGTGATCCGTAGCGCGCCGTGGCTTTTGGCTAAAATGTCCAGACAGCCCCGGGAGCAGCTGGCCTGTCCCGCCTTTCCTGCTGGCTCTTTCAGCCTCCGAGGGACTTGAATTTCTCGTGGAGTGGCCCCGGCACGGCTGGCTAGGCACGTGGAGGCCGAGAGAGGCAGACGCCCGCCGCGCTGTGACCATGCCGTCTGCTCTGGTGGCGCAGCTGGGACCCGAGCTCAGGTTTCTCTGGCTGTCCTGCAAGCCCCTGTTTTACCCAAAGATTTTTTTGGCTGGACAAAAAAATCCATGCAGGAATGGATTTGCTGATTCGGATCTAGAAATAATTTTCATTACTAGAGTCATCGAAAGAAATTGTTTCCAGAAACGTTTCTCAGCGGTGTCGCCTCCCGCCCCTTTGGAGAGCTGCAAGTCCTGGCGCCTTTATTTTGTGGAGACCCTGGCCAGGGCCGCCTCACCCCCTGGGATCGCCCAGGGCAGAGGGCACACGGCGGGGGTCAGAGCGCGTTGCCAGCAGGGCCAAGACCTCGCTCGAGAAGGTGATGTGACCGACGAGGAGGCAGGCGCCAGCGCAAGTTAAGACTTTTGATCTGGAACTGAGACTGGGGAAACTTCCTGGGGAAACACGGAGCTTCCGGTGCCCACCTGGATCAGCAGTGGGGAAGGCGCACTTGGGTTCATGGAGACCCGCATTCCAAAGGCCCACGGAGTCGGGCGCTGAGAGAGCCTTCCCGGGAGAGGACGACATGGGTCTTGCCAGCGAGGACTGTGTGCCAAGGAGCCGCGAGGCGTGGAGGGCCCACCTAGGTGCGGCCGGCCTGAGCGCCCTGCAGAGCTGGGGCAGCTGCCCTTCCTGCCAGCCGCCTGCGCGCCCAGCCCGGCTCTCCCAGGGCACGGGATCCATCTGTTGGGCTCTGACTCTGACCACGCTCCGCAACTCTGTTGATAGGAAAACCCAAGTTTTAGGTGATGCTGTTCGACATTGCAAGTGTTTGGCTGTTTATTGAACAACAAAAATGGGCCAATCAGATGGCGCCCCTCCTATGGCCTGGGCTGCTGGGGTGGGGGGCGGGGGGCCCCTATTATATGGGAGCGGGAGGACTTGCTGGAAGTAAACGTGAGCGGGGAGGGGCGCCCCCCCCCCTTGGTCCTGCGCGGGCGCCTCCCCCTGGGCACATGGGGCTTGGCAAGGCCGCGTGTCTCACCTGCATGGGCTGCTGGTCATGGGGAGACGCAAGGACGCTGCCCGCAGGCCCGGTGCTCCCCCGGCGTGGGCCCCTGACCCAGGCAGCAGCTCAGGGTGCCCCCGGGGAGAAGGCTGCTTGGCCTGGGGGCTAAGTGCAGGGGCGTCCGGACAGTGCCTGCTGGGGGCTTGAAAACCTGAGCCGCGGCAGCTCTCGGTGGTTCCAGACTGTCCCAGACCCCGCTGCGTCCACTTGGTGGGAATAACTGGAGTAGGAGGGGGATGCTCACAGATCCTCGTTTGCACCGCAGGACTGGGGTGCGCTCACCAGGCAACCTGGTACCCCGCGGTCTTGGCACCTCTTGGAGCAGAGCTGGCCCCAAGCCGCGTGGGCAGAGGCTTCGCACCTGGACCCGCTGTGCGTCTGCGTCTGGGGCGGCCCACCTGAGGCTGTGCTCATGGGCTGGCGGTATCCCAGGCCCTCAGACACGGTATTTGCCGGAGCGGCCGCCACACCCCGGCCGCCGGGGTGGACTGACTGCGCGTGGGCACGGCCCGGAACTGCGCCTGGGTAGACGCGTGCTTCTCTGCCCGCGACACTGGACAGTCTGGGTTGTCGAGGTGGCGGGGAGCGGAGAGGTGTTTGGCTGCCCCTGTGTTTTATCAGCGAGGAAACTGAGGCACCGGCTAGCTCTCGTTCGCCCAAAGCCATGGGTGGTCGCAGAGGACTGCATGGTGGGGGAGGCTCCGCTGACTCCTCCCTCTCCGCCTGGCGCTGCTGCCCGTGGGGCCGAGACGCCCACGTGGGGTTGTCCTGGCCCATCCCGGTGGCCTGACCCCCGTGGGCGTCCCGTGCACGGCAGAATGGCAACAGAACTGCTCTGTGGCGTCCAGTCCCACCTGGGAAGGACCCTGGGTTGCCTCTCGGGGGCGAGGGTGGTGGCCCTGGGGGTCACGCCCGGCCCGGGCTTCAGGCCCATGTGTGCAATTAGGCCTCTTTGAGGAGACCGCGGAGGCCAGCTCTCCTGGCGTGGCCGCTGTGACCACCTCCGAGAGTGTCCCCCGAGGCAGATGGGGCGCGGGTCGGAGGCTGGAGGAGGCCGCTGTGTTCACCTCCGCACGACAGCGGTTTCAGCCCCTTCCTCTTTGTGTCACACCCCAGGTGGACTCTGCGGGGTCCCCGCGGGCTGGTGGAGCCGCTCCTCCCCCGCGTGCAGCCGGGCCGGTGTGTCGCTCCTTTGGGCCCCTGTCCTGCGGGCGGGAGCGTGGCCCCTCCGGACTTGCCCCAACGCCACAGGCCGTGTGCAGGCACGCTCGGTGGGCGTGGCGAGCGGGGCCGCCCTGGGGCAGGTGGTGGCCGGGCTGTGTGCCCGCGCGGCCGGCGGCGGCACAGGGGCGAGTCTCTGTGTGTCCTGTGCGCTTCTGCGTGGAGGATGAGGGTGAGCGGGTGCAGATCGTGCCTTCCAG